ACTTTTTCGCACCGAGTTGAGGTTTTTTCAACTGAGGAGTTCAGAGCGCTTCGACAAAAACACCAGGCACCTAGAGTACAGAAACACGGGGCACATAGCAACACAAAAACAGCGAGCAAAAGGCTTCAACTGTCTTATTATTTAAATTGTTGAAAAACAGAGATGTGAACAGTGAGACCGTATTAGCATGGAGTGGATGGAGTGGGTGTTTTGAAGGGCTGGAGGATTGTTTGTCAGTTGTAACATTAGGGTTAGCCATGCATGTGATGCTACATCAGTTAAATTGTGCTCTGGGGATGAAGCCTCCATCCTGCATGTCTGACAGGACACCTGCACAGTTTTTGTTTACAGATTTTGTTTACAATTATTCTACAAATATGTTGCCACACAGCTGAACAAAGTGGTGACATTTTAAGTTTAGACTTTATCTATAATGCTTGCTTCGTAGGAGTTATGAGGCTTGATGTTTCAGTAGGTAGTTTTCAGCAGTGCTGGGCAGTATCATGTTACTTAGAAACACACCAGTAATGAGTGTTGAAAGGAATTACAATGTGAAATTCATAACAGTTACTAATGCAAGTAACACTTCATTACTTTGACATTTTAGGGGTCCAATTGTTTGCTGTCACACCATGGGCCCTATTTAGATGGTCTAAAACGCGAAGCGCCAGGCGTGCAGCTATGGCAAGCCATTTTAACATTTAATCGCTAGACTGGATATTCATTACTAATATCTGCAACATAATTTTGCCTAGTCAAAACTCATATTCAAGATATCTGTGATTTGATTTTGCCTAGTCAAAACTCTAATTACAGATATCTGTAATTCAGTTTTGACTAGTAAGATGCAAACTATTTTTGCCATTCATGTGTATGGGGTTTGTCATTATAGATATCTCCATTGTAGTTGCGGATATCTTCAATTGTTATTGCGGATATCTGCAACTGAATTGTGGATATCTGTAATTCCAGTTTGAGATATCTACAATTTAATTTTTACTAGTTATAATTCAAGTTCAAGATATCTTTAATTATCATCAATTGAATATATCTACATGGTCCTTTCTAGATATCTTGAATTGAGTTTCAGATAGTCAGAATGACGTTGTAGATATCTTGAATTTGAATTATGACTAGTCAAAATGACGTAGATATCTGTAACTGAATTATGACTAGTCAAAATGACGTTGTAGATATCTGTAACTGAATTATGACTAGTCAAAATGACATTATAGATATCCACAACTGAATTATGACTAGTCAAAATGACATTATAGATATCCACAACTGAATTATGACTAGTCAAAATGACATTATAGATATCCACAACTGAATTATGACTAGTCAAAATGACCTTGTAGATATCTGTAACTGAATTATGACTAGTCAAAATGACGTTGTAGATATCCGCAACTGAATTATGACTAGTCAAAATGAC